CTGCTTGTGAAAGCTCAGAAGCCTGCCAGACGGGTGTGGTGGGGAAACCAAGTATGAGAATCCTACCCTATAAAAGGCACCCCGTCCCAAACATTATCCCTTTAATTCATTCCCTACAAAGAAGTCAGGAGCCCATCTATGACCCCGTCCCCTCCCATTCTCATTCAACAGGAACCTGCACCCTGAACCCCAAACCCTAAGCACCCACCGGAAACCGCAACCTGTGAGCCCTAACTTCGACACCCTCTATATATGTATATGTTGTATATGTATATACACACACACACACATATATATATATATACATGCCTATACATACATAGCCCAATCGTCTGACATGACAGATTATCAGTAATGTTATGTTACATCGAAGCATATTATACGAACATGCCATGTTGTGTACTATTTACAAAATAGTCACATTTGAGTATGTACTACCACAATGTGATATAAGTGTATATAGTAGTAACTCAGCATAGAAAGCAGAATAGTGACACTAAACATCCTGATTCCATGTTATGAGAACGCCTGCACCCGAAGGTCCAACGGTTGGAGCTGCGCGTGCTCCCGCTGACGTGCGCGCGTGCGAGCCTGCAGCGCGCTGCGAGCGTGAAAAAGCGTTTAGGGTTTGGGGTTTAGGGTTTGGGGTTTGGGGTTTGGGGTTTGGGGTTTGGGGTTCAGGGTTTAGGGTTTAGGGTTTCGGGTTTAGGGTTTCGGGTTTAGGGTTTAGGGTTTAGGGGTTGGTTTCGAGGCCCAAGGCCCCCAATAAGGCCAATAAGGCCAGCCGGACGCCTGCAAATTGGGTCTGCTTGTGGGGCGCCCTTTTGAGGGGGGAGTCCTGTTCATGAGGGTTTAGGGTTTAGGGTTTAGGGTTTAGGGTTTAGGGTTTAGGGTTTAGGGTTTAGGGTTTAGGGACTGCTTGTAGAGCGCACTTTTGAGGGAGGAACTCTTCACCCATTAGGGTCTACCTTGTGCGCCCAGTGCGGGTGCCAGTCTGGTTCGTCTCTGTCACACATCTCCAGGGTTTATAGGGTCTGCAGCAGACCGAGCCGCAGCCGTATCTGCAACGTAGGCACAGAGGCGTACCCGGCTATCCCAGTCGTACCTCCGGATCGTTGCCAGCAATGTTCTGTGCCTGCTGCGAAGTTGACGAGCAGGCGCTTGCACCAATATCATCAGTGCTTGTTTGAGATTGCCCCCCTTAGGCCCTTATGCCATTGAGGTTTACAATAGAAAGGGACCCAAAACATAGACGCCAAATAGCAGGCTCCCCTTATAACAAGGACGCCAGTGAGGTACCCCTAATCTCGTAAATCCCCAGATTTGCGGGTGGGAACCTTGGATTGCGTTCGGGCTTTAAGGGACCTAAGAGGGTTTAGGGTTTAGGGTTGAGAAAGAGAGAGAGAGAGAGAGAGAGAACAAAACATGCACCATTTCAAACCGAACCCCGCCCAGCGTCAGCTAGACTCCTGCCCAGGGCACCGCCGTGGAAGTGGGGCAGGTGCCCGTGATTGATGAGGAGGCTGGTCTTTCTTTTTCTTCCTCGAAGCCCAAAACCCTAAAACCTAAACCCTGGACCCTAAAAAGGGGGGGGTTGGGGGCGGGTGGGGCATGCAGCTCCGACGGCGTGGATGTTTTAGGTTTGGGGTGCAGCTCTGTCCTTGCCAAGTGCACCGCTCTGAGTCGGTGTAGGGTTCAGGGTTTGGGGTTTTAGGGGTTTTGGAGTTTACTACTACTAGCTTAAGACTCCACAAAAAAGAAAGAATGATAGTCCCGATATGGCTCTTACAAGGAAGAATATGTTTTGTTATTTTGGGGGTTCTTAAGCAAATAGCATTTTAGGGTTTGCGTGGCCAGATGCCCAACAGCACCTTCGACGGGAGCTGTAAGGGAGGCACCCAAACCTAGGACCCAGAGTAGGCCCTTATTGCCTTTTCTCAGGGTTTATGGTTTAGGGTTTAGGGTTGGACTCTTAGGTTCCCTTTTAAGCAGCCCCTTTAACCAAACAGGCCGCCCTGTTTCTTCCTAGGTTACTCTCAGGCCCAGGCGCCCAAACGGCCCGAAGCAAAACAAGCCTAAGAACATCCGGATTGAAACTCCCACTTTCTGCATCCAGCTCCCGGAACCCTCCGGTCCTAGCCGGTGGTGGTATCTAACCTTCCCCTGGGTGCCTCATGATCTGTATGAGGCCAAGTGTAGGTTTTGGGTTCAGGGTTCATTGTTCAGGGTTTAGGGTGTTTTAGGGTTTATACCCCAATAAAGGAACCACGTTTAGGGAAGTAGGCTGGCTAGCCGAGGGTTTCTCCCTTCTTTCGGATTCCATGGCCCCTCGTCCCTTTCCAGAAGCTCAAGAGGTTTAGGGTTTGGGGACCCGAAGCCCCAAACCCAAAACTTCTCAACCCCAAAACTTCTCAACCCTAAACCCCAACCCTAAACCCTAAACCCTAAACCCTAAACCCTAAACCCTAAACCCTAAGCCCTAAACCCTAAACCCTAAACCCCTAAACCCTAAACCCTAAACCCTAAACCCTAAACCCTAAACCCTAAACACCCTAAACCCTAAACCCTACACTGCCCTAAACCCTAAACACCCTAAACCTCGGCCTGAAGTTGTAGGGATCCGAAGCCCCTTCGCGAGCTCCTCCCTCCCTGCCCCTTTCTTTTCAAAACCCCCGACCCTCTCCTCCCGCACCCTCGGGCCTCGGGCGTGAGTCTTTGCAGATTAAGTTTGCCTTACGTTTTGTGCCGCCCTCAGGCGTAGCAGCTGGTTTGTGCTATGGTTTTGCTCCACCCTCAGAAGTAGGGTTTGGTGGCTCTCTGTTTGCCTCTTGCGGAGATTGCAAAATCACACGGCTCAACCCCCAAGAACCCAAGATGTTCATCTCTACTTGAGGTACATCGAAGCCATGACCAACCAGGCCATGAAAGCCATGAATTCCATGAAGTCGATGAAGGCGGCCATCAAGGAGCATCAGCAAAACCTCCATGGCGTGCTTGCCACGGTGAACGAGCTGGAGGCGCACCTCTGCAGACGTGGATACGAAGTTGCCCCCATGGAAAACGTCCCAGGCACGGTTGTCCTTGTGCTGCGGAGGAATGGGAGGAGTTGGAGGGGAACGAGGATTGGGCCGCCGCGCTTCCGGGCTTCGAAGACTCGGATGCGACCGCGCGATCCAACCTGGAAGCCAGGTTGGACTTGGAGGTGGGGCAAGACGAGTACGGTGATGGCCGGCAGCTCATTGCAGCCGTGCGGTGGATACTGCGCTCAGAACAGCATGGCATATATGAAGCGTGGATATCGCGAGATGCATGACAAATGAGCCTGAAAGCTTGCGACAGAGGACCTGTACGGTAACTTGTCACTAGAAAACCTCGGCTCTGGCGTGTGAAAGGATCCCTCCCTTCTAGCAACATCGATCACTGTGCCAGCACGGGCTTCAGGAGGGGTAAAGGTCGAGGATGCAGGTCTCTCTGCATAGCCCTTGCTCAGCTGCTTGACAATTCACTGATGGCAAGACAGTTTTGGAATCTTTTCGATGCTGCGAGCAAATTCTTTCCGGTTCTCAAGTCAGCTGGGCACAGTGGCATGTCACCTACAAAGGTGGTTGCAGACAGAGCTGTCACGCAGCCCTGGCAGAGGGCATTGTTGCAACGGGAGGAGGCCTTTTCACTGCCAGACATGCACCCGCGCACAAAAACAGGAACAGGCTGGGTCATGGCATGTATCTGCAGGCTGCACGGCGCATGATGCGCAGAACAGTCCGAAAAGGGCGCTTGCGCCCCGCTCTTGAAAGACTTCCAGAATTGCGCAAGCATTGTGGAATTCCTTTGCGCGAACTCCTCTTCACGTTTCTGCGGACACATGTGGTCTGCGACGTGCAGGCCCGCCAGTTGGATGAGGTCATGAAGTTTCGGCAGTTGCTGGGGGGTCGAGGCAAATGCGCTGGGGAGCTGACTCTTCCGCGATCCTACGGGCTGTGCTCGGTGCTTTGGCCGTTGCGTTGCAGGGGCTTGTGGCCACCACGCGTGCTGACCCAAAGGCGACGGACTACCGTCCTCATGTGTTTGCGCGTCTTCAGCCCATCCATCTGAGATATGCGGTTGTGGCAGCTGTGACCGCGTATGTCCCGGGCGCCGACTTGTGGCCGCTGTGATGAGCTCCATGGGTCTTTGAGGGGTGAGCTGCGCTATGTTGCTGGTCTTTCGGATTACACGTGGGTTTGTCTGGTTTCATTCTGAGCCCGCGCAAGCGCGAAGTTTGCGGAGCTCTTGCCTGCGTGCTGCCTCTGTGTCCCATGCCTCTTCTTCCACGAGGCAGCACATAAGGACCAGCTTCTTATGTCTGCTCTGAACGTAAAATTGCCAGTTCAGTAGAAGCCTCTCTGACCTGTCCTTTCTGTCATCACAGGTGCTGTGGCCCATGAAGCTTTAGCAATCGGCGACATCGCAGGAAGACATTGCCGACCTGACTGCTCACAAAATACGAGAGCTGCTAAAGTTGGGGTGGAATCCTTCGCAACTGGTCGATGCTCTGGTTCGCTGGTCGTCCTTAAGGGTGGAGCAGGTGCACGGCTCCTCGGCCGTCATACCGCGCGGCGAAATGATGACTACGCAGCAAACATGCTTTGTGCCAGATGCTTCCTCGTCAATGCCTGCAGATGTCCGGCAGACACTTGTTCTTTCGCAGCCTTCGCAGCTTGATGGCTGAAGTGCAGCAGAACCTCGGCAAGGCCCAGAAGATGTCACCGTGTTTGCGACAAACTTTAAACTGTCACGCAGGAGCACTCCGCCCTGTTTCGATCATTGCCGCCAGCTGAACAAGCTTACTAGCAGGAATTGCCGCAACAAGAGCAAGCGCGTAAGCGAAAGGCAGGGCAGGATGAGATCCAGCACCTCGCAGGCGCCTTGCAGCTGGCTCGGGCCCGTGCTGGTACGGAGCTTGCGTAGACTGGTCTTTTGCATAGACTGGTCTTCTTAACCGTGCGACCTCAGCGCGCTTCATGCAGGAGGATTGGCCGTCCGGTGAAGCTTCAGTAGTTTCGTCCAACTTTGCCTCGGCACGCTTGGCAAGCCGCCCTCCATTGGCCGTTCGGGATGCTCTCGCTAGCGTTCCGGACACTGCTGTGCCTCAAGAGAAGCAGCCCAACCCCGACTGGTTGCCTTCACTCTGCAAGAACCGAGACATGTTTGCAGATGAGTCCGGGAGGGATGGCAGCTCTGCTTTTGGCAGGTGCCTCCCTCTCTCACGCAGTCACTCACTCGGATTGGGGTTTGGGGGCCCGAAGCCTTAAACCCTAAGCTTAGTTCGGGTCCCTTCGCGAGATAGGCCTCGCGGCAAGAGAGTTTTAGCAAAGAAGCTTTCGCAAGTTGCGGTTTGAGGCACTCAAAAATGTGCTTAGCCCTAAACCCTAAACCCTGAAGCTCAAACCTTAAACCCTAAACATCCCAAACCCTAAGCCCCTAAACACTAAAACCTAAACCCCTAAACCCATTTTTCCGAAACCCTGCCGGAGGTGCCCAAGACCAAGGCGGCCGTGCCAAAGGACGTCGCGACACCCAAGGCTGCACCCGAGTGCCTTGGCATGTTCCCTAAACCCCAAACCCTAACAAGGGGTTTAGGGTTTAGGGTTTAGGGCTTAGGGTGTAGGGTTTATAGGGTTTATAGGGTTTGGGGCTTAGGGTTTTCAGCCCTGAGGGGGCTTAAGGGGTTTTGGGCTTGGGGCCGGCTTGGGTTTAGGGCCCGGTGTACGTAGAGGCGAAACGACAGTGCTCCAACAAGACCTCTACGCATGGCACCCATGAACCTCCAAGGGGAATGCTCGGGAAGGGCTTGAGTGTTCACGCCCCCAAAGGCATGAACCCTTACAATGGCCCTACAAGCCCTAGACCCCAAGACTTCAAAAGGCGAAGCCTTAAGCTCTCAAAACCAAGAAACCCTTGAGCCAGCCGTTGCAGAAACCCTAAACCCTAAACCTTAAACTCTAAACCCTAAACTCTAAGCCCTGGGCAGCCGGACCCTTCTCAGGTCCGAAGCCCTAAATCGAAACCCTAGACCCTAGACCCTAAACCCTAAACCCTAAAACCCAAAACCCAAAACCCTAAACCCTAAACCCTAAACCCCTAAAGTTCAGAACAGTCTCAGGTCCGGTACCTTCACTGTGGAGATTCCCCTGCCCTCCTCGAAGCCGGCACAGCTAGGCATCCTGCCCTGTGGGCTTTTTAAGGGTTTGGGGGGCTGCGCAGGTTTAGGGTTTAGGGTTTAGGGTTTAGGGTTTAGGGTTTAGGATTTAGGATTTAGGGCCTAGGCTCACGGTTTAGGGTTCAGGGTTCAGGGTTCAGGGTTCAGGGTTTAGGGTTTAGGGTTTAGGGTTTAGGGTTTAGGGCTAAGTTATTAAGGGTTTTGGCTTGCCTTCAGTCCAGTGGCAAAAAAGGGGTAAGG